AGTGAACAATTTAAAGACTTTCGAAATATATATTAATTAGAATAGTATTGTTTTAAAATAAATAAGTGTTTAAATAAATTATTAACAAATAACCTGTTGTGTAAAATAAACAAACGTAACAATATATTATTTCAGCTATTTTAATTGTAACTTAGAACTTCCATATACAATAAAATTATACTAAGTAAATTGAAAACAAAGTAAAATAATGAGTGGTGTGTATAGTAGTTGACATTCCTAAAGGGTAGATTCCAAGATATCCACCGATTCTAAAAATATACTATAGAAGGAAAACATCACTTTTTAAAAGGTAAAATTGACATAAACTGGATGAAATAGGTAAATTCAACCCTTGAAAATTAATGGACTGTATTTTAAATTTTAATTAGGTGTTGATAGTAAGACAACAGTAATTATTGAACTGATTAACTATGACTCGAGGAAAAGGTGGAATTTTTGGGAACCTACACATTTGTATATAAAAATATTTTTTTGATGTTGGAAAGTCGGTTCAAGTTGATAAATCGTTGTGTAATTTGCTCACAATATTGTCGATATAAAATATTACATAAGTAAATGTCTATTATAATGGAAATGAATCATCCAGAATCTAAGAATAAAAATTAGTCAATAAAATTTATATTTGTGTATAATAAAGAAAAAAATATATCACCCTGTACACTAAATTTAATTTGAGTTAAGATGTCAAATTAAATTTGATAAGTCAGGATATCCGAGGAGACGGGGAGATTGATGAGAAGTTTTGAAAGATATGCTACGGGCAGAAGCTTTTCATTAGAGAATTTTAAAGAAGGAAAAATTACCTAAAATTTAGAGTCGTGGCACAATTAAAAGTTTTTTTTTTTTTTTTGAAAAAGTTGTAAATAACAAATTAAAATAGACAAGTTGTATATCACCTCAGTTATACAGTAAAAGTAAACGATGAAATTGTATGATGAATCTATTATAAGCGGAATAGTGGAACTGCAGACATTAATAAGACATTTTGGATTTGTATATGATCGAAGGTAGGACATTTTCCTGTGAGTAAACAGTTTTGTTATAGTGAAAGAGCATAATAGACAATTTTGTTATCACTAATTTAATAAACTATATTTGCTTTTAAAATTGAAGCTAAACTATTAGAAGATTAGAATTAAGTAAATTATTTAGAATAGTTAAATTTTGGAGAAGTAAAACGTCAAAATTTTTTAATTGTCACATTGAAATTTAGTGGTTAGTAAGTGTGTATGGTGATGGATGTATGATTAGAGTAATTTAGTAAGTTAGTATATAGACAATTTTGTAGATTTTCAGAAATTTAAACCTTGTTACAACTTAATGGTAATAAATTAGAAACTTGTATTCACAATTTGTCTATTTTGAAAATAAAAAAAATATTTTACAGGATAATACTGACGATGGTAATTAAAAGCAACTTTATAATTTAATTGACTAATTAGTATATAAACCACATCCTTAAGCCTAACTTTTTATATAGAACAGAAAGCTTAATCCATTTATTTAGATATAAAAATAAATATTTCAAGGTATCTTATTGTTAGAATTGTTGCTGTTATTATTTAATAAATAAACTAAATAAACTAAATAATCTAAATAATCTAAATAATCTAAATAATCTAAATAATCTAAATAATCTAAATAAATTAAAGAAACTAAACTAAACAAAATAAATAAATAATTAAATTAAAAAAAGAAATTAAGTTTATAAAGTATTTTATTTTTGGAACCGACACCATTGGGACAAAGAGAATCTGCTCTGTAAAAAAAAATATTATATTAAAAAGCTAGCCAAGGTAAAATAAGTTTGTGAATTTTTTTACTTGTGGGTTATGTATTGATAAGTGAATATCATAACACTATATAAATTAATGATAAAGTAAATGTGATATATAAATTAGGAGTACTAAGTATAAATAAATTATGCCATAAAATATATTAGTGCAAATAGTGAATATAAATTAAATTGATATACTGTTAAAATAAATAAATGTTACAGCATTGGTGTTTTAAATTTATTAAGTTTTATTGCTGAATATTTTTGTAAATTGTAAAGAATAACACAGTTGCATGCTTCGTAAATAATAGTGAAGCCTGCAAATACCTCAATTATGTCCACTTTATACGCTTGTTGCATACATAACTATTATATTTATTTAGAATTAGTTTTAATTTTCTTTTTAACCCTTTCACTGCGGGAGCCGTCCAAAGCCGCAGCAGAAAGTGGCAACTGAAGTGCGGGAACCGTCTATAAATACAGCAGCTTCCGATAGGTTTACTTGCGGCTCCGTGGCAGCCGAACACCACGATACATTAAAAATGACGCACGCCGCAATGAAAGGGTTAAATAATAATTATAGTAAAATAAAAAAATAGGTACTTACCACTAACTGTAAACTTAATAGTGTGTTTCCTATAGAGCTTTTAAATAAAGTAAAGAAAACCCCTGATTGATAACAAAATACAAGAAAATTAAAAACTGCCAGCAGGTTCAAGAACGTTGTTATTACTAATATAAAAAAAACTTTTCCCATGAAAATATTAATTAGTACCACAGCTTGATTTAGTAATAACAGATCTTTTCGAATATTCAAGATGTTCATATCGAAATTAAATATCTTTACAATTTTATTTGAAAAAACTTTCTCCACTTTGTAAGTTAAACGAGAATATCTTGCTACTAATATATTCGCAGTTTGCCATAAAATTGTTGTTACACAAAACATTTCCAGGAAAATTATGGCATAAAATGAGTAAGCAAGTAGTGAATAACTTGTCATCTCGTTATTCGAGTACCAATAGTCAAACATAGCACCAAAAATTATTAAGGTACAAAAAAATACCAGTTTAAACATATACCACAAAACGTTTTTCGTTATTTGATATTCTTCGTTCAATTTATTCATAATATCAAGAAAAACTCCCCACGATTCTTTGTTTTTGAGCATTCCATGAAAGCAAGCGAAATGGATGCAAAAAAGTGCTAGAAAATCACCAGCGAAGATTATTATTTCAATTGGTGGCAATTTAAATACTCCCATCATTCTTTTAACTTCAAGTACCAGAGAGGTAACAGCAATCAAGTTGAAAATGCAGTAAAATGTCAAATACGTGATTCGTTTCAATGGACTAGTTTCCAGCGGATAGACACCAAGGTAACTTCCAATTTTATATATAAATTTCAGAAAATAAATATCGCTTTCTGAGTAATTAATATTTTTCATGATGGCATACAGTCTCTACCACTAGCAATTTTATAATGCTTAATTCTGTTTTATCGTATATTTTCATTCCGTTCTTCTAAAATTAAATAATTATGTTCGACAAATTCTTGTAATACATTATTTTAGGTAATAAATAAATTATAAAAGATGATAGATAGATTTCGTGTGTGATTAACCCAGTCATTTTTGTGATATAATCTCTTCTCGTGTTTTTGAAGCACGCTAATTTAATTTATATTATGAACTAAAGAATAATAACTAATGAAAAGATAACGAATGAATGTGAAAACAATAGAAATTGAAATAAAGTGACGTTTTTTGTAATCGCAGCAACCAGTTGCATGAAGTTGAACATTATGGATCTGGTTGCGAAATAGCTACATATGAAACCAGGTATAAAATACCTTATTTTATGTAACGAGTGAATATTTGCGAGACGAGTAGAGTGAGGTCCAGCAACATGAACGAGTTACATAATAGTATATTTTGACATTAATGCTTAATCGAGCCTTTAAAACATGAGCCACGACGTGCAGCATTATGTCATACGATATTTTTTAGTATGAATACGTGTTTACAATAATAATAGTAATAACTACAATCATTTTAAATGAAAAATGCAAATTAATAATGTCCATGCATTTTATCGAGTGTGTAGGTAAACGTCATTTGACATTTCATTTAATTATTAAACTTCATTGTTGTACGTTTTGAAAATGTTAACGGAAATTAAAAAATTTGCGGCTAATGCCGAGTTAAATCTAATACCTGTGAAATCTAAGCATTTATACTATAAAGAATATGAAAAATTTGGATTATGGATGGAGCAAAAGCACACTCAAAATATAGATGAGTTGGTTATTACGCTAACATAACCAATCGTCATTTTACTTTTAAAACCTCGTATGTCCTGTTTTTTTCAAAAAACGAGGTTTTAGTGAATATCGATTTTAAACCCAGCTCTACATCTCCCAGTAATACCTTTCAAACCTCCCTATACTATATCGCCATCTACGACTATTTTTTTAAAACACGTATGTCAAAATTGAAGCGCTCGGGGCAACAAACATAAGCCACATTGGAACATTATTGAGAAAAACGACTTAGAAAATTCTAGTCAAATCTGTAAATCGGGTTTGTTTTGCAAAATTGTGAATTTTGGGTCATAGGGTTTCAATGAGTTAAGTTCTTCCCCGTAAATAAAATAAAATATAAAAGAGTTTATTTTTTTCGAATTTATTGAATTTTTTTTTGCTAAAGTGTGGCATGTGCCGTTCTAGATTTCACTAACTTAAAAAAATTAAATAAGTAGCTCTTAAGCTCAACATAAATCTTATAAATACTTTGGTTACAATAAAAAAATACTAGTACAGGTAAAAATATTAAGCAGCTTTCCGCTAGTCTTCTTCTCCATCCACATCTTCTGCAATATTTTGATCTTCAGTTTCGTCAATGTGCTCTCCAGTACACTTCTCGAAAATAGTAATATAAAAGTTTTGATTGATAGGTGGTATATATCGCAAAAGTTTTTTTAGGTCTTCAACTTTCTTGCTGTTCAGTTTTACAGGTTCATTGTATTTGCCGTCTAAGTTGTCAAGAATATCGCCTGACTGAAGAACTAACCTATTTCCACGCTTTCCAACATAAACTTTTTTTAAATTTCCATTTAGTTCATGTTTTATAAACATCGTATTGGGTTCACCCGATTCAAATCGGAAGCAGCGTGCTTTTGTGAAATTTACAGGCTCTTTATCTTCAGTTATGTTTTTTCACCATAGGAACTTTTTGAAACGATAGGAAATATTTCTGTTCCATAACAATAACTTTAAATGGATTGGCCCTTTTACTTTTTCTAACGGCTTCGTACCAGTCCTCTGGGCAATAAATTTGTCTCAAATACCTCTTGTGTTTTTTAAATTTGGGCGAAATCCCTATCGCAAGGCAAATAGGTATGCCCTGATAGCAAAAACATATGTTCAATAGGTACTTTTGATGTTCTATTTGGCCGATTGCTGTGTTTTCCTCTCTTGTCATCTTGTGGAACACTTCACCCGTCTGATTGCAAATAAGCCTAACTCGCTTAGAAGACTTTTGCAGACCATGACTGACTAAAAATTCTTGCTTGCACAGCTGTATGTCAATTCCATTTACTTTGACAAAATATTGATAAGTGACTTTTCGAGGCGATTCTCTTCTTTTTATTTTCTTTTTATAGGAACGCTTCTTTGGTACAGCTTTTATGGATCCGAACAGGTAAGTGTTTTGGGCCTTGTAGGTACCTAAGTTCCAAAATGAATTTAAAATGTCAGTTTCTTTTCCTAGGAGTCCCTCTCTACACTTCTTCTTGCAGTTAACGGGCTAATTTTTCTATCGAAAACCGTTTTTCCCCTACTACTTTATTACTTGCATCCAAGATTTCGTTTGATTTGGCGCTTTTTTTTTCTCCCTTTTTTTTTCATCCGGCGTTACCAGAACACCTCGTGATGTTCCAGCTTGCTGTGTTACGTTTTGGACTGGTTCCTCAAAATTTTCATCTGATGACTCTTCTCCAGAGATCTGCAAGAAAGTAATGACTGTTCTAATTTTGGAACCAAAAAGGTCATAAGCCACAATTAAACTCAAAAAGGTCTTAAGCCGCAAAGATAATTATCCGAAATTTTTCTTGTAAAAATAAATAAATCCCGCAATTTAATAACAAAAATTTAATTAATCAACACTATTTATCATTATCATTTAAGCCCATCTGGAAAACAAATTTTATGAATAAACATACAAAAAAAATAGTATTGTTTTTAAGTAGATAATGGCACATGCAAACCAAAAAATAAACCAAAAAAGTCATAAGCCACAATTTTGTTTACTTACGGAGTATTCAGACTCACATGAAGATTTAGATCCACTAACAGTTGGACGATAATCTCTATCTGCTATACTATCGTCAGCACTGAAATCACTACTGCTTATATCACTTTCAGATGCATTTCTCTTGAGAGGCACATGCGGTCCGTCCGCCATGATGTGGCATGTGTCGTTGTTAATTGCAAATAACTACATTATTCTGCGTAGGCAACAAAGGCTTTTAGGTATAGTGCTGCCATCTATTGATATTTCTTTAAAAGATTTCACTAGTGGCTTGCGACCTTCTTGTAGAATGAAAAAATGAATTAATCCTAATTTTCTGTAATATGTGGCTTATGTCACTTGTTGCCCCGAGCGCTTCAATTGTCTTAATCTTTTACTTTCAAATCCTTGTAAGTCTGCATTTTGTTCGACAACGCCCAACATTTCAAGTTAGTTATTATTTCAATTGAATAGTTTAAATCCAAATCATGGAAAATTCATCCAGTTCTAAGGTAAGTAATGTTTTTTACATTCAGATTTAATATATATATTCGGACAAAAATTTGAATTAGTTCAGTTTATTTGATTTTACCAGCGAATGTCAAAGTTATGGCGCTAATTGGACATACCAGGTTTTAATAAACATCGTAACGAATTTTTTGCAGCTATTTTCAGACATATGAGGTTTTACTAAAATAAAACATTTTATTTGTTTCTGCTTTTATAAATTATTAAGTAAAAAGCTTCCCTACTTTCTATATATATTTTTTTTCTAAAATAACATTTTAATTGTTTTCAGATTTTGAAAGTAAGCACTTTAAGTGCAAGGAGTAAGCATATTCTCTCAGTACTTGACAAATCTGAAGAAAATGTCACTCTACATGGATTACATCCCAATTCCATTCAAAGTTTGGAAAAATAGGATCCTGAAGATGGTATTTAGAAAATCTTCAAACTCTTTATGTTTTATGGATGTTGCTTCCTGAGTTAAAATTACTTTTATAGCTTGTTTCACTCTTTTAGCTCACAGAAAAAAGAATATATTAAATATTGATGCTTTTAATTTTTAAACCTATTTGTACACTTTATTTTATGAATTATTAGAAATTAGTGAAATTGCATTGTTTACAATGATAGATAGGTACTTAAAGAGCACTTATCTGTTATTTGTTTTATTTTATTAATGTTATTAATGGTAAAATTTATTGTTAAAAAATTAGCCGTGAATAAATTTTAATAATATAATAAATGAGAAATTTTGAACGAAAGGAAAAACAATTCTAAAGTTAAATATTTTAAATTTTTTAGTAATTATTTTCATTTTCACACAAGAAAAACCTCTAGTCTTATATTAGTTTGTTGATAATTACTTCGGAATATGTTTTTAGGTTATAGTGTAATGTGTTTTCTCTTAGAAGCAAAAATACCATCATAAATTCTTTATTATAACAAAAACTGTATCTTATATCGTGTGTAAGCATATGGTTTTCTATGTAATGTAATTACCAATAATTTGGAAGTTTATAAAATGCATGAAACTAATAATGAAGAAAATGTGTATGCAGCTTTTTCGAGCTTGTATTCAAACATTTTTTATTAAATCTTTGACCGTGATGAATAAAATTTAGATAGTAAACTTTAATCTCATTGTCTCCCAATTTTTAACCCTATAGATTATTTTAACACTAAAAATATTTTGTTAAGGATGCAATAGCTTAAAATCATGCTTGCTTTTTCTTAGAATAAACTATATTTATATCAAATATTAGAAATTATATTTCTTGAGTACTCGGATCCTAAATTATGTTTCTAATAGAAAAAATACTTTGTAAGGATCTTGCGTGACTTTAAACCACTTAATGTACATGTCCGTGTCAGTGACGAGTGTGTCTTACTGGCCATTTTGTATGCTCGAAGGGAACACGAGCTACGCTCGTTTCAGATGCGAGCGTATAAACACTAAATTTTCACTTTAAAAAATTTCATCATTTTGTGACCCAAAAAAATCAAAATAAATATGTACATTAAGTGATTAATTCAATAGTTTGACGAGAAGTGTGATCATAACATCGTTCGCGGTAAGAATCCTGTACAGAATTAATACTAATAGTAACGATTTCGCATTCGCAGTAATTAAAAAGCTTTCACGGAACAAAAAGAACTGAATTATTGGTTCTATCCTGTGTTCGCGGTAATAGTAGTTTGTGAAACAAGAGTGGATATGATGACCATATCGACGAAGACGAAGTTTGAGCACGACGCCATAGGCGAAGTGCTTAATCGTCTGAGTACGATATGGACAATTTACTCGAGTTGTACAGTATATTTTTTCTACGACCCACCAACGAGGTTATTGAGACAAAATAATTAATTTAAAATAATTTATGAGTTTTACTTATAATATAAACCTAAAAAAAATAGTCCCCAGCCCAGATTCAAACCCAGGCTATTCGCGTGGAAGGCAGATGCGCTATCCTCACCTTCACCGCCACTTTTATGACTTTAGTTTTAATACTCGTAATTACATTCGTTTCATATAGTTAGATTAACATTTAATTTTTTTTTAATGGGGGCTAAATAAAAATAATAATAATGTTTTTATTGGCTCAAATAATACATTTTTTATAATTTTGGACAAAATAAAATTATAGCCAAAAGGCAGAGTTCAGTTTCTATTATGCCGAAGCAATAGTAGAACCTGTTCTTCCACTCAACCGGTAAAACTAAAACTAACTAGAATATTTCAAAAAAAAGTAAAAATAAAAATACCAAAAAGTACTTACATAAGTCAATAATATTAATAAACCGTAAGAAGGGTAACCTATTATAATAATATTAATTAACCGTAAAATAAATATTTTATTATATACCAGAAACAGCCAACACCCAAAACCCAATGCTTAAAAATGCTATTATTTTCGATTCTACAGAAAACTAATTCATTTAAATGTATTTTTAATTTCAATAACTACAAAATATACAGACAATTAGTTTAACAGTTTTGTCACTTATTTAACATTTTAAAAATAATAGTAGTTGGATGTCCAAAATATGAACTGTGATTGGTGGTTTCAATTTTTTTGCAGTATTCTCACTACCTAGAATGGATATGAAATATATTTGTTCAGTTAAACTCAATAGCATTCTTTTTCGTTTTGTAATCTATGAGTAGATACCCAGACATAGTAGAATTTTTAAAGAATCGGGCATGCGCTCAAAGTATGAAGTAGTAGTTCTGAATCAGTACATTTTATTCTTGCCGCGATCAAAGCTGTAGATGGACCACTAATATTAAGAGAAGTAAGTTAAAGATTATAGAAATTACTAGAGGTATGAAATTGATTTCTTGTCTGTTAAAGTGTGCTGCAATATTTTTACTGTCAGTAGTATTTCGCAAGCAGTTGTTTCTAAAGTTTTCTGTTAAATGATTTTCTAGGTAGCAAGTAAGAGAACTAGTACATTATAACCTATTGCTTACAATTACATTGTTCGCCTTTTTTTGTGACTATTGCGCATGCTTTTTGAAGTGTTATTTGCAAAAATATAGAAACATCTAATTTTCAAGTTATTTGCGCAAAATTTTGGTAACTTAGGGAATTTTAATGAAAACAACCTATATTAAAAGAAAAGTGGTACTCATTAAAATAGGAAGAAGAAATTAATTGGTACCTAAGCTTTGTTGATCGTTAAACAAAAAGATTCATCAACAGCAACGGTCGATCAACTGTTAAAAGTCAAAACTGCTACAATTCGCAATTTTGGTGTAATGACAGATGACCGCAAGATTTATAAATATAAAATTTACGTAAAAGTTTCCTAAAAAAAGAAAGAAAAATATTATTGTTTTATTATTTCACAGTCTTGGTGATTTAAAATGTTTAGTTTTTAAAAAGTATATACTTATTCAATGCATAGTGGCGAATAACGAGGTTCATTAATTTTTATGTTGGCCGGCAATTAAACCCCGGAAAAAGTGTCTGCCTTTTTGGAATTAATTTTTTTTATATTTAATTAAGACGCTATTAAAATTTCAGCGTGAATCAAACACTTCAAATCATATTTTAAAATATCAACTTTGGGGTTGATTTATTAATTATAAACCCTCTCAAAAGTGTCGGCCTAAATTACTAGTATTTTTAGAATTACCTAAACTTTCAATTGTTGTTTGTTGGCCTCTGAATCAAACACTTTTTTTGGGTCATATTTTACGACCCCTTTCTATTATGCGCAGTATCTGGTGTCCCATGGTGGGTCTAGCCAACACAGGTATACCTGCTTTTCCATCCAAATGATTTCAAATTACAAAATTTCAAAGTGCATCAAACACTTAAATGGAATGTGTGTTGCTAGACTATAAAGTGACATACAAGTGACAATGGCTAAATTCTTTAAACATGTATGTTTTATTAAAAACGTGTGAAACATTCTACTGGCTATAAATTACTTGATTTAAAAAGTACCCTTTTTTAAAATAAATGTTGATAATAGTAAATCTCTCGCATGTTGCTAAGGCGTATTCGTTTTTTTAGAAAATGATAGTCGATGATAGATATGTTTGTTTTACGTAATTTTACGGAAATTTCACAAAAATAAAACGTTAGGTAAACGTTAACTTTTTCTTTGTAATTTAAAGAATCTAGAATTCTAGTTCTTTAATAAGTGCCGTCTTTTGTAAAAGTAATTCTTAAAGCCTTGATGTGCTTAGATAGGAATAATATTTCTGTCGCTGTCTTTAAGAAGAAAAAATTCATAAGATAATCTATTTCCCAATTTAAAGAGACTACTAGTGCCGGTATTTTTCTTTTAGCAACTGCAACTATCTACAAATTTTGGTTCCCTTCCTGCTGGTACCACAAGCATATTTCTACGTAAACTGCCCCTCCATCCTCTTGTGCGTTCTTCTTCACTGAATGCATTTTCAGGTAGTACTTTCCTCATGGTACCCGGTAGCAAACGTAGCGAGAGCCACAGACTCAGCTTTAATGGTACCGTACGCATAACCGTACCATGTTAAGTACCTTGGCAGTACCATCGCATCGCGAAGTGGCATGTTTCTATTTATTTTAATGACTAAATAACATGTGCGCCGCGCTTAGCTTGGATTTCTATAAATTAGAAATCTCCAAAATTGATTAAAGACGTTATTGGAAAACTTTCGGAAAAGTATGATAGTG